GCAGAGCCTGAGGCGGGAGGTAGGGGAGGGCAGAGACAGGGCCCCAGGTGTTTGGATCTGGAGGAAGCCAGTGGCTCAGGGCAGGCTGGGGCTCTGTCCAAGTGCCTCTGCAGACCTCAGCCTCGCTGCCTTTCCCCGTCCCAGGGGGTGGCGCTGGGCGCAACTCTAGAGGAGCTGTGGTTTGAGCCGGGTGGCCCAGAGGAGTTTGAGGGAGCAGAGGCGGCACAGTGGCCGGTGTCCAGAGCACTCAGCAGCAGGGCCCGGTGAGCCCCAGAACCCCAGGACTTGCAGCCCAAAACATCTGTGAGGAAATGAGCCGAGAGCTGTCACTTCAAACAAAAACAAAACCAAGCCAGGACCCGCGCCCCTCCGGGCCCTGTGCACAGCGAGCAGCTCCAGCTCGGCCCTCCCTGCGCCCGGTCCCACACCCTCGCTGCTCCTGCTCAAGTCCCTTGAGGGCAGGTGGTGCCTCCGTGGGCCTGGGCTCACCAGCGCTTGACATTATTTTCTCCTCTGAAACCGCTGTGCTGGAATAGACCTTCTGCCGAGTCTTTTTACACATTTAGTGGGGAATCTGGATGCTTCTGAGTGGCCGGTGTATTGGATTAATAAACCCCAGCGACCCTCAGTCCTTGGCTGGGGCCCTTGGTCACTGGCTGCTCCATGCCCTGCGCTGGGGACAGTGAGGGCCCGGGGCTGCGTGGCGACCTGGAAGCTGCACAGAGCAAGTGCCCTTCCCCTAGAGGACAAGGAGGGCTGAGCAGCCCCCTGGAGGCGGAGACCCCGGGCCCTGCTGTGTTTGCTCTGGGAACCAGAGAGGCCTCGAGGGAGCGGTGCTGCAGAGAAGCGCGCTTGCCTCATGGCTCCAGGACGGCTGGAGAGGGTGAGCGAGGCCGCAGGCCTGGCCCCGAGAGAGGCCACGACGTGGACCAAGCAGCAGACCGCACGGCTGTGGCCATGGACACAAGGTTCCTGGGGCAAAGGTCCCCACCCCGGAGGACGGACAGCAGGTGGGGTGTGGTACCCAGAGCTAGGGCTGGGATCCGGGACATGGACGTGGACTCTGCCCGCCTGTGCTATGGTGACTTCAGGCCACACCTTTCTCAGCCACTTCTGGAAACAAGACCCAGGGCTGGGCCTCAGCTTGGAACCTGCAGGAGCCGAAGAGGCGGCCCGGTGACTGTACCCCACCACGCTTCTCCCCGAGTTTCCTGCTGGTGGAATAGGTTTTAAATTAAAGAATTGAGGGTATTAACAGCAGCACTGCTAAGAATACCTTTCACTGAAAACTTAACCACAGAGCAAGAAATGAGCAAACAGTGGAAACAAGCAGCCCGGAGGCTAGGGATGCAGTCATCCCACCTCCCCTGCGAAAGCCTGAGCTGAAAAGAACTTGGACCAGGACAGACAAAGTGGAGGAGCTGGGATTTACCAGGCCTTCGGTCATCTCGAGGGGAAAATGCCACTCCTCTTATGGTCTAACTCTTGTAGGAACACTAGCTTCTCTCTAGGGCCAGTGGGCAGGTCAGTAGTGTGCACCTGCTACCCTTGGTGACTCTTGTAGCTGCTCAGTCGGGTCGGGAGTTTCTTACCTTTTACCCTCTGTACTAGATATGGGCACAGGGTAAAGTTTTGTGTTTCAGAAACTCGCTGTTTTGTCTGGAGTAATCCAAAAATGGTTCAGCCCAGTGATGGAGATTCCGAGATCAGATATGAGCGACTTTCCTGAAGCTTCCTGGGGAAGCTGGGCATAGGGCATAGAAGGAGATCTCTCTGTCTCTCTTAACTGAAGCCATTTCCTTCTCATCCCCTGAAGAAAACCGTCAGTGAGCTTCCCCGTGGAGCAAGGCACTTGCCAGGCGCGGCTCCCAGTGCTGCAGCTGGGAGCGGCAGAGCTCGCTGTGGGACAGTACTTGTGTAAGGAGGGACAGGTGTGAGCTGAACGAGAACATTGCCTGCGGTCCCACGTGGGGCAGTGCGACTCTTCCGAGGTTCAGAGGAGCCTCCTCAGGTGCTGGCTCCCCTCACAAGGCAGATCCCGAGCTCAGGTGGCCTCAGCCAGTGCTCTCCAGGCCTCATGGTCTGGGCCCAGTGGTTCCTGGAGCTCAGGGAGGGAGGCACCCAGCCTGCCTGCCTGCCGACCGGACGCTGTGGTTTTACCCAGCTTCCAGAGGCCTCGTTCTGACTGTGTGCACACTCACAGGACTGACGAACAGGACAGTGCTCCCAGGAGACTTCGCTCGCACATCAGGGTAGGATGTGCTCTTGGAGCAGTCTCCATCTTGCTGGGAGAGGCCAACAAAGGCTTCCATGCAGCTGCATCTCCAGTGACACCTGGCAATGGGAGCAGAGCAACCTGCTTTGCATTAAGATGGAAAGATAAATGCACCCTGCTGCTGCACGCTGCCATCCTGGCGCCCTGGAGGCTGAGGCAGGAGGACCGCAACTTCAAGTCCAACAAAAAGTACAAAATGGGCTGGAGAGCTGGGGATTTAGCTCAGTGGTTCTGCTGCCTGCCTCACAAGCGCAAGGACCTGACTGAGTTCGATCCCCAGTACCGGGAAAAAAAAAAAAGATTCACAAAATGGGCTGGGGATGGAGCTCTGTGCTGAGGCCCTAGGTTCAATCTCCAGTTCAAAATAAAAAACATATGCCTCAGTTTTAAAGAATGTAAAATTAGAAAGCATGTGGATGTTAGAATTAATAAAACATGGATAAAGACAACACATGAATACTCTTCATCCATCTGAAGAATGAAATCCTGTCCTTTGGAACAGCAGGGCAGACGGGAGATCGTCATGCTAAGACAAGCAGTGTGTGGCCCTGTGGTCCTGGACTGGAAGCCGCTTGGTTACCCATGGCCAGGCGGGGCTGAGCAGTGAGCCAGAGGCAGGTGGCCAGGAGAGGACACACCTGTGTGCACTTTTGTAGCCTTGGAAACCCCTTGGGTCCCTCTGGAGGCCGATGCCTCGAATGTGTCTCCTGAAGCTTGTGTTGCTCAGCCAACGGTGGCTCAGCAGGATCGGCCGGATGGGCTCCACAGTGTCCTGGTTTCTGGGAAATCTGCACTGACCGTGTGTGGTTGACACTGGGGGCCAGGGCCTGAGGTAATGGGAGCCAACTGCTGCTCCTTACGCTGTCTGTCCACTGTCCCTCCGGGCCCCCAGCCTCAGTGTGGGAGTCAGGCCATGGTGTGGGTGAATTCTGGGTGCAGAGTGTCTACAGTTAAGGGTTGATACCTCAAACTCTGTGTCTTCGGGCTTGGCGCTGGTGTAACGCACCGTCCTGTGGTCTCTGGTTGTCTGTCATTTTACGAGTCTCATATTTGGACATCTGAACTGAGTTCAGGGCAGTTCGCACCGCCCTGAGCCTGGTTTTCCCTCCTGTGGATGACCTGAGTTACCAGCAGTCTGACTGAACAAGAGCATGTGTGACTTAGCTGGAGTGGGTTCGATTATTGGTACCAGCTGCATCAGAAACATGCTCTGACCCAGCTGGAACTGCTGTGAACCCTGGAGAACCTCTGTGTGGGTCAGAGCCCTCTGACCATCTAAAGTCAGTCGGGCATTAAAGCGATTAAAACGGGACTCTACAATCTTTGGTTAGGTTCATCTGGTTTGGCCCAAAGTGGTTTTATATCAGTCAGAAGTACTTTTGTTTTGTAGTTTCATGATTTAACTCAGTTCTTTTTCTTCTTTTTGAGACAAAACCTCACTTTGGGGTCCAGACTGGCCTTGAACACACAGCAATCTTCCTGCCTCAGCCTCCCAAGGGCTGGGATTACAGGCATGCACCACTATGCCTGGCTGATTTAACTCAGTTCTTTAAACTTGCCCTAAGTCTTTGAAACAACCATGAGCTTGCTATAGTGGATGGGCGCATGTGGTGTGGATTTTAATTTGTTTTTAAGTCACTGAACTCCTGAAACCCATTAGGTGAGCTGCAGTGGTGAGAACCGGCTGGGGCCCAGCAGAAGTGGAAGCCGTCTGAGGATGAGCTCTTTGGGTCCGGCGCTGCTTGGAGCCGGCCCACCTCTGCCAGAGAGACCTGTGCAGCTCCGAGAACCCCCTCGGAGCCAGTCCAGGTCTTCAGGCCACAGAGCACCCAGAGCTGGGAGCTGGGAGGCGGGCGGGAGCTCCAGACCCATGTCCCTGGGGCTCTGCTGTCATGTGTGAGCAGAGATGCCCTCCGGGCCAGCACCGGCTGATAGCAACGGAGCCAGAGAAGTCGAGCGGCTGTGCTGAGCAGAGGGTTTGCTCCTCCTGGGCGCCTTCTGTTTGGGTCACGCTGGGAGGGCTGGATTCATAGCCTGAAGCAGGGGGAGCCCCAGCCAGGAACTGTGGTCTGGGCGCCCTGGATCCGGGGTGTGTGATATTCCAGAGAAGCTGACAGAGTGAATAGCTCGAAGTGATGGTAACAATTCACCGGAATGCTCACTTGTGAGGCAGCAGTGACTCTGAAGGAACTGTAGTAAGGTGTGGCACCGCATAAGATAAATAAATTGCCAAAGCTGGCCGTGGGGGAGCATGCCTCGGGAGGCTGAGGCAGGAGGATTGCCCTGAGTTCAAGGCCAGCCTGGTCTACATAGTGAGACCCTGTCTCACCCCCCCCCCCCCGCTCATAAGTAAGTAAGTTAATAAAATAGCTGCAATGTCTTGGAAGAAGCTGGTGCCAGGAGGCTGCAAAGGAAGATTGTGGAGCCGCTGGCCTCTGCCACTCCTCGATCAGCCCCCTCAGCTGGGTGCCAGTTCCTGCAGAGGCCAGCGCCCGCTGAGCCTCCTTTCTGCGTGTCGCTCTCGCCTTGGGTTTTTGTCTTGAGGCAGTGTGACAAGTGGAGGCGCTGTCGTGATCTCCGAGCATCTCACTGAGCACGGCTGGGTCCGGGCACAGAGCACGCTGCGACCCCTCTCCGCAGAGCCCGGGCTGCGGGCCAGGCTTCGCTCAGCGTTGGTCGCGCTGCTTTCTACTGGGCTCAGCATGCGCTCGCTTGTGTCTTGCAGGTGAACACTGAGTTCCTTGCCATGTCTGACGGAGATTACGATTACCTCATCAAGTTTTTAGCTCTGGGCGACTCCGGAGTAGGGAAGACCAGTGTTCTCTACCAGTACACAGATGGTAAATTTAATTCCAAATTTATCACCACGGTGGGCATTGATTTCAGGGAAAAGAGAGTGGTAAGTTCCCCACTTCTGTACGCATCCGTACCCTCGCCAGTGTGTGCCTGTCTGTGTGTGGCTGGGGGAGCAGGGGGACAGAGCTCGGATGGAGCTGCAGCTGGCACGGCCTGTCGGGCACACAGCGCCCCTGCTGTCCCCCTCGGCCGGCCTCTGTCCCCCTCTGAGCCCGTGGTTGTTTGTCCGCCTTTGTGGAAGATCCCCTGGCCCCTCTCTCATGCCCCTGTTTGTGGGCCGTGTCTTCCTGCTCAGCCTTCTACCTTAAGAAACTGGAAACGTGGTTCATGCCTATGAGCCCAGCTACTCAGGAGGATCCAGTGTGAGGCCAGGATGGGCAATTTAGCAAGACTTTGTCTCAAAATACAATTTACCAGGGCCAGGCTGTAGCTCAGCAGCAGAGCTCCTGCCCGGCAAGCGTGAGGCCCTGAGTTTGATTCTCGGTACCAAAAAAGAAAAAAAAAAAAAATTTGCAAAGGCCTGGGCTGTAGCTCCGGGGTAGAGCTTGGTTAGCACGTGTGGGGCCTTGGGTCCAACCCTCAGAATCTAAAACGGAAGTAAGCTAAACTGAAAGGCAAGCAGAAGAAAGCATAAAGATTAGACTGGAGATAAATAAAGGCTCTTTTCTTGGAAATGATAGCTAAATTTCTAGGAAGTGAAAGGGCAACTCTGCCAACATTACACAAATAAAGATGATGAAGAAATACTATAAAACTGCAGGCAAGCAGATGTCACAGTGCACAGGAGACAGAGAAATTCCTAGACACAAATGACCAAAACAGACTCAAGAAGAAGTAGGAGATCTAATGAGGCGGATGAGCCAGCAGTGGCTTCCCACAAGGAGGAGCCGGGACCAGCTCCAGCAAACGCTGGAGGAAACCACAACAGCCCTCTCAGCTCTTCAGCACAGAAAGGGTGGAAGACGTCCCCACTCCTTTTGTGAGGCCAGTGTTGCCAAAAAACCACAATTCACAAAGTTGTCCTGGGGGGATCTGCAGACCGGCCACCGTCTGAGTGAACACACACGGAACCTCAGCAAACAGGCCAGCAGCAAACAGCATGCGAACTATAGCATGACCAAACTTCACACAGGGACAGAAAGGCTGGTTTACATGTAACCTGGCACGGTGGTGCTCACCTCCAGTCCAGCTACTTGGGAGGCTGAGGCAGGAGGATCGAAGTGAGGTAGAATAAACACCTGACAAAATCCAGTACCATTTCTTGATTTAAAAAAATACTCAGCAGGGCCGGGGATTTAGCTTAGTGGTGCCACTGCCTGCCTTGCAAAGCACAAGGTCCGGAGTTCGATCCCGGTGCCAAAAAAAACAAAACCAAAACCAAAAACAAAACCCAGAAAGAATGAAACTAAGAATATAAGAATAAACTCAACAAGAGTGAAAAATGAGCATGTGAAAGCCACAAAATACTGTTGGAAAAGATTCCCGAAGGTGGAATAAGTGGAAGCCTCCTCTCCCGGGCGCTGCGTCCGTCTGTCCGTCCGTTGGACACCTCAGAACCCAGCAGCGTGTGCACCCGAGCAGCTCACCCTCAAATCCACATGGACCCGCAGCTCGGTGGAAGGGCTCAGAAGTCAAAATGGTCTGGTACCAGCAGAGGCTCGTCGGGTTGTGCAGGTGTTGCCTAGGGTGCCACTTTGTTTACTTTTTTTTTTACTGTTTTTTAAAATTATTTTCAGTTCTTTCTGGGTATTAAGACTATCTATCATCTTAATTTTTAACAATCTGGTTTTTATCAAGTGTCTTGATTTCAGTAAGACAAAACTGAGGTCTTGGGACGTTTCACAGCCCCTGCTCTGGGATGTCACTGTTCCAAGGATGCCACCTTCATACCCTGTGTGCCCAAAACATGGGTCATCAGAGCCTCCCGCAGCATTTATTTATTTTTAGACAGGGTCTTGCTCTGTAGTTCAGGTTGCTTTGAATTTCCAGTGATCCTCCTGCCTCAGCCTCCTGACAGCTAGGATTACAGGCCTGGGCCACCGCTCTGGCTGCAGCTATGGCGGAGTTACAAAGGGAGTGTGCTGGGCTGGCTGTCACATTTGCTTATCTTGCGGCTTTCCCTGAGGCCCTGACTCCTTGGGGTGGAGCAGAGCTGAGCCATGTCCGCCTGGGTGTCTCAAGTCTTCCCCATTTCCTGTAGGGCAGGTCTGTTTACCAGCAGTGTTTTGTCTTGTTTGTTAGAAAATGTCTTGACTTCTCCTTCAGTTTTAGAGCATAGCTAGGGAGAATACAGAATTCTTGGTCAATAGTCTTTTTTTTTTCCCCAAGCACTTTCAAAATCTGAAAAAAATTTTTTTTCTGGTACTGGAAATCGAACTCAGGACCTTGTGCTTGCGTGGCAGGTACGGTGCCACTGAGCTACATCCCCAGGCTTGAAAATCTGAAAATATTAAAAAATTCTCTCTTTTTCTCTCCCCTTTTCTTTTTATAGGACTTTGATTATCCATGAGCTGGTCTTTGGGGATATTTTGCCCTTCCTGACCCTTTGCTTCTCGTTTGCCTTCCCTTTCTTAGCCTGGCCACACAGCTGATCCCTGCTCACACCTGATGACTGGCTCTCCTCAGTGCCCTGCTGCTGAGCCTGGGGAACTTTGCATTTCAGACACTGACCTCTAGGACCCCAGAATCCCTGTTTCTCTCTTCTTTTCTTCTTTCTAAACTGTGGTCCTGGGGGTTTAACCCAGGCCCTTCACACGTCATACTGAGCTGTGTCCTCTGCTCTTTTATTTTGAGAAGGGTCTTGCCTAAGCTGCCCAGGCTGGGCTTGAACTTGTGATCCGCCCACCCCAGCCTTCCAGAGGACTGCAGCCTGCACCGATGAGCCCAGCTTCTATTTACTTTTTTTTTTTTTTTTCTTTTTGGTACCAGGGACAGAACTCAGGACAGAGTGCAGCCCAGGTGCCACTGCTAAATCCCCGGGCCTGCTTCTATTTTTAAATGTCTTTTTGTTAGTCACACCTGTCACGCTGCTTTTCATCCTCCAGGCATTGTACTTCTGTATAGACTTTGAATTGCTGATTTGTCTTTGTGTAGACCAGTGTCTGTTGGTTGCTTTTTCCCGTGTGTGAGGCGCTTTCCTCCCCTTTGGTGTCATCCAATGTTCCTCATTCCTGGGTCAGTCAGAGGAGGCCTGGCAGCCTCCCTCTGGGTGGTCCTGGGCAGACGCAGGGCCCTGCAGATGAGCAACCTTTAGGGGTACTTGGGGGCGTTAACGCCTCCCTTGGACAGTGCCTGCCCAGATTTTAAAAGCTTTCTGGACTTCGTTGGCCCCACTGGATGCTTCCCTGGAGGTGGTGAGCAGTTGCTGCTGATCCGGATGATGAGTGTCACAGGGACAGGGCTGTCCTCCCTGCTGGAGCCAAGGCCCGGGAGGGGCTTTCCCACCCGGTTCTGCCTCCGCTGTCCACACTGGCTGCTGGGCTTCCAGCTTGAGCATCTGGAGGTTTTTAGGGTGCTTTGGACCTGGGCTGATGGCATTGGACCCAGGAAGGGCAAGTGAAAAGCCCTCAGGGCTCACTGTCCACGAGGCTGTTTTCCTTAAACCCGGGTGACTAGTTAATTCCACAGTTCTGTCAAAGTTGACTCTGACTGTTTGCCACTGTCTTTATGGCTATTTTGTGGAGGAGATTTTTGGAAATCCTTTCCCTGTGGTTCCAGAAGTGCTTCCTATAATGTGGTTTTAAAGAGACCTTTTAAGGGTGGGACAGGAGGGCCCAGAAGGGAGAATTTTCTGAAACTCGTGACCTGGGGTGCTGGGGAAAGGCAAGCCAGTTTTACATAAGCCGTGTTATTTCCATATTTGCACGCGATGCATGGTCCTAACACACTGCGTGTCGCCTGTGTCACCATCGACCTACACGCAGGTGTGGCTGTGCTGGGGGTGCGGGAAGCTGCAGGCTCCGGGTCTCTGCCAGTCACAGAGGTGGAGCTGGCAGCTCTGAGTGCTCTCCTGTCCCTGCTCTGCTGTCCTAGGTGTACCGAGCCAGCGGGCTGGATGGAGCCCTGGGCCGGGGCCAGAGGATCCACCTGCAGCTGTGGGACACAGCCGGCCAGGAGAGGTGTGAGGCCCGGGCTGCGGACGCGTGGTGTGCACCGAGGAGCGGCCTGGGCCGGTCGGGGCTGGGTCCTATGCAGGTCGGGAGGCTGGGTGATGGCCTTGGGCCTTCTCCTTGTGCGCTTCCCTGCAGACCTCAGGCTTCTCCCCACTGCATTTGCTCTCTGCTGATGCAGGAGGGCCAGGGCTCTGTGCACTTCCGACCAGGGCTGGAAGCCCAGAGGCTCTGGGTGGCCACTCGCACGGTCAGGGGTCCCTTCCTGAAGCGAATCGTGGGAGAGCTCAGCGCCGCCTGTCTCAGTCTCCCTCGGGCCTGCACCGAGTGCTTGGGTGTTCGCCCCTTTACTGTGGAAACTTGGAGTCTGTGGAGAGGACAGCAGTGCCGGGAGCCAGGCCTGGGCCACGTGGCCCGGTCCTCGGCTGTGGGCCGTCCCTGTGGCTCGGCCCTTAGCTCGGCCCGCCCTGCCCTCCCGCAGCACTGGAAGCGATTCCGGGATGTCATGTTATTTCATTTGCAGCTATTTGGGTGTCTTTCTCCAGCCCACAGTAAGGGCTCTTTATGAAAATATTGGGTAAAGATAGTGGAGAAAGCCTGGAATTGCTGAGTAGTTGAGGGCTTTACGCAGGTATTCTCCCCCTGGAGCAGGGCCAGTCAGGCTTGGCTGAGGGAATTGCCTGCTGGGCCAGCCAGCCTGTCCTGGTCGCTGGCCAGCGCCTCCCTGCTCAGGGCTTCAGTCCCTGGGCCGGCAGGCCGACCCCACCCTGCGGGAGGCGCTGTGGGCCCCTCAGGCCACCGCAGCTCGCCTCCGCGGTGGACGCTGACTGCCTCTCTGTGTCCCAGGTTCCGCAGCCTGACCACCGCGTTCTTCAGGGATGCAATGGGCTTTCTTCTGCTCTTCGACCTGACCAACGAGCAGAGCTTCCTGAACGTCCGAAACTGGATCAGTAAGTGCTCCTCTCCCTGTCGGGTGCCGCTCCAGCGCCTCTGTGGGCAGTTGTCCAGGAGGAGCGCCTGCTGCCAATGCTGTTTAAAAGGACAAGGCTTTAGGCAGGCGGAGGATCACAAGTTCCAGCCCAGCCCGAGCCACTTAGTAACTTAGTGAGACCTCCTCGCAAAAAATAAAAAGAACCAGGGGTGGAGCTCACCGTGAAGGTGCTGGGTTCAACCCCCAGTACCGACAGGAAACAAGACAGCAAGACAAGGTTTTCATTCCAGGGCCCGACCTGACTAGGATCTCGGCGGGCATGACTGAATCCTTCCTGCCTCATCCCCAGGGGGCTGTGCACGGGCACGCTCAGCCTGACCTCTAAGGTCAGGGACCTCCAAGCGTCTGCGCAGGCCCTACAGGCTGTTACTCCGTGCGGCTTGGACAGACGCTGCTGATGTAAGGGATTTCCACCTGTTTTCCAGTCAGGATAACAGCGTAGGCTATCTGCGGCTGGGGTCGCAAGCGCGCGTGTGTGCGTGCGTGTGCGTGCATCTGTACGTGTGTGCGTGCATCTGTACGTGTGTGCGTGGCTCCGCCCCTCTCTCTCCTCGCCTGGTCCTCAGGGCGGCCGGGGGCTTCTGGCCCAGTTCCTCTCTGTGTCCTGCGGGGCAGGGAGAGCTGGTGCCGACGGAACCGAACCGCAGCTTCTCCAGGGAGCCTTTCAAGGCGACCGAGTTTCTGAGCTCTTCAGCTGCAGCCTCACGAACATGGGGCAAGAGCCGCACAGCCTCTATTATTTTAAATCAAAATCTTTACTGGTGCGTTTTAGGCTTACTGATGGCAGCACTCATCGGAAGGAATGTGCACCTGTACATCCTGCCTCTTTTCCGTGCCTCCTCCCCTCTCCATGTACAAAAGCTTTGTTTCCGTTTTCCTTCTGTTTTCAGTTTTTCTTGGCCTCTCTGTCCCTTCTCCCGCCCCCTTGTTCCCCTTCCCAGCTGCTGCTTTTCACGCTGTCTTCATGAAAGGCAGTGCCGTGTGTGCGTGTGTGTGTCTCAGGGGCTCTCCCGCGTGCTCTGGTGTAAACACCCCTGGGCGTGAGGGGCGTTGTAGTTTTCTGTCTCTGCCCCTTCTGCTCTAGAGTGCTGGTGCTTCGAACCGTGGCTTCCTGTGTCTGTGTGAACAGTGCCGGTGTCTGAGCGCCCATCCTGTTTACACGCTTTCCTCTGCTGCAGCCCAGCTGCAGATGCACGCATACTGTGACAACCCGGACATCGTGCTGTGTGGGAACAAGAGTGACCTGGAGGACCAGCGTGTGGTGAAGGAGGAGGAGGCCCGGGCCCTCGCCGAGAAATACGGGTGAATGCTTGGGAACAAAACCCAGAGAAGACAGTTGTGGTATAAATGCTAGCACGAAGGATAATAAGAAAGGCGAAAGGGCAGAATGAAAGCAAAAGGCTCAGCTGTGGGCCTAGGAGGTGGAGGACCTGCTTTTCATGCTGCTATTACGTGGCAGCAGGAGCCACACACGTGTGCACGTGTGTGCACGGTGTGTGTGCATGCGTGTGCATCTCCTCCAGGCTGTGGTCCCGTCTGCTACATCTCCTGGCTGCAGCTGGCTCGGGTGCAGCCCTGCTGGCAGGGCTTCCTCCTCAGGACACGGCCGAGCTCCTAGGCGAGACCTCCTGCCAGAAGGGAGTGGGCATCACAGGGGTGCTCACTCCGTCCTCACAGTTTTGGGGCTCGGGCCGGCAGGAGGCTGTGTGGCTGCTGCAGGCCATGTGCTCTGGGGAGGGGTCACGAAGCCTGGGTGTGGACAGCAGCTTCTCCTAGGGAGTGCAATTGGTTCATACTTCGAACATGTGCTGATGATACAAAGGAGCTGCAGCGTCCATGACAGACACGGGAGAAGAGATGCAGGAAGCCCTGGCGACTGCTCTTGGATGAGCCTGGCTCCCAGGCACCAGGACTGCAGCGCGGGTGTGTGGTGCAGGCGCTCTCCTCAGGTGAAGTCCTGTGCGTGGCATGGGAGCCAGGTGCCCAGGAGCACCTCGCAGGGTGGGAGCTGGAGAATCCATGCCGACGAGAGGGGTCTCGTCCCATACCTCAGTTCCATCTGCTGTGAGACAGTGGTGTGTGTGCGTGTGTGTTCTCATGTGCTGGGGCCTCATCCGAGACCTGGAAGAAACGTCCCTCAGCTCTGTCCACAGAGGGCGTGGGCGGCTGAGCCCTCGGTCGCTCTTGGCTCAGGGTGAGGGGAAATGGGGGAAACTTTGGATGTGACCTAAGCGTGGCAGCGGAGGGCGTCTGCTGGAGTCCAGCAGATTCCGACCCTGTCAGCCTGGCTGCCCCGTCACCGTGGGAGCTCGGGCGATGCAGGTGGGTGATCTGACAGCCTGTTTGCAGCTCATGGAGCTGCGCTCCGCTTGGTGGCCTAGTGGTGTCTTGCTGGGTGGATTTCAAACCCCACACATCGGCCACAGCCACCAGAGCCCAGCGCAGCCGGGCGGGAAGAGCATCGTGCGGTGCTCAGCAGACCCCACCTGGTGTCCAGATGCTGGGGACAGTGTTTTCCGGGCTGGCAGGCAGATCCTGAGGTGTGCTTGCTTCGGCTCTGGGCACCCTGCCCTGGCGTTCAGGACCTTCTCGTTTTGTGGGAGTTAAAATAACAGAAAAGAAACCCTTTGGATGGGCTCTGCCCTGGGTGTGAGAGAGACCTGAATATTGTGAAAACTGCAAAGGATGCTGCCCTTCTTGGTCTGAAGCTATTTAGGGTTTGTTTATTTTATATATACCCCCCGACTGAGGATTGAACTCAGGACCTTGCCCTTGTGAGGCAGGCGTGGTATTTTATATTTTAAAATTTGTGATTAGTCTGTTTTTAAAAAACATGTTAAAATTAGCTGTCTGCGTGTATTCCAGTTGCCCATTAAACTGTGGGACTGTACGATTTGCCAGAGGGAATTATTTCCTACCCTGGGCAAACTGCTTCGCGACAGTGCTGCTTTACGCCACCATGTGGAAGGAGGGTGCAGTAGCACCTTCCTGTAGCTAAAATGAGAGGTTGAAGCCCAGTGGCTGCAGTTTTAGCCCTGGCTGCTACCTACCCGGCTGAGGCAGGAGGATTGCAAGTTGAGGCCAGCCTGGGCAATGTCATGAGACCTTGTCTCAAAGTAGAATGAAGAGGGCTGGGGATGTAGCTCAGCACTGCTCGGGTTCAACTTCCAGCACTAAAAGAAGAAAAAGGGGACAGGTGTGTGGCAGTTCATCCTCTTGAATCCAGGCTAAGACTGATCCCAGTGTGCAGCATCTGTGAGCACTGCCTGGTGCAGCTCCTGCTAAGCGCTGTGAGGTGCACCTTTGCCCTCATCCCCGAGCTGGCCTTGCGCGCCCACCTGGCCCCTGTGCAGACAGGCGGCAGCCGAGGTCGGGGGCTCAGGTGGGGTGCGGTGGCTGTGGGACCTAGGATCCAGACGCCGCCCCCCCCCGGCCTCGAGTCTCATATTGCTTTACAAATGCATAAGGCATCTAGTAAAGGTGATCGGGTGCAGTGGCTTGAGGCCCTTCTGACTCTGGCACTGGAGTCGTGGACCTGAGACGTCCTGAGCAGGAACTCCATCCCCAAGCTCGGTCAGCGGTCAGAGGTGAGGACCAGATGTACGCTGCCATCCCCTCCCTGGCAGAGTCCTCACTCAGGGCCGCTGGGGACCTCGTCCTGGCCCTCCACACCCACACACCCGGGTGTGGGAGGTGTGCACCCTGCCGTTCATTTATTCTTGTAGAACCAAAGCACACACTGACTCGACTGGTCTGAAAACCCTGAACGATTGGTCTTGCAATTCTTCTGCCTCAGCCTCCCAGAGTGCTGGGGTTACAGTTGTGTGCACTGCCACACTGGGCTTAACACTTTTTCATAAATGTTATTTCTTTCTGAGAATTTTCTGTTTATATCCTTTGTCTATTTTTGCATTATTTTTAAATTCATTTGAAGAATATTGGTATGTTCTGGATATCGGCTCACTTGCTGGGCGTGTGTAACACAAGCACCTGCTTGGGCCATCGCTCATCTTTAACTCTGTGTGTGATATATGCAGCAGCACCAAAGTGTTAGCTGTATTATCGAGACCATCAAGCTTTCCTCTGTATTTGAGCTTTTGTAACTATTTTAAGGCATTCTTCCTGTCATAGAGGATAATCTCTAATGTTTTCTCCTAAAAGTTTTCAAGTTTTGCTTTTCTTGTAGGGAAATTTAAAGTTTTTTATACTTAGCATTAAATTTTCAATTCTTTTTTTTTTTGGTACTGGGGATCGAACTCGGGTCCTTGGCCTTGAGCAGCAGGGGGTGAAACCACTGAGCTAAATCCCCAGCCAAATTTTAAATTCTTAAAATGAAAAGTTGTACTCTGTGTGATACATACTTTTTTTTTAACCTGTAAGAGAAGACAGTTAGACTTGGTCTTTGGAAGTGTCTACGATTCCCAGTTAGTTTATTCGGCTAGGAGCACAGTGTGTGTCATTCTGCTTTATGGTCTCTTGCTTTTGAGCGCCTCGGGCAGGGAGCCATCCCTGCCACCTGCCGCTCTCTCCCTGGTGGTGGGGTGAGGGCCTCTGCCCCTTCTCACTGAGCTGTCTTGTCCCCCCAGCGTCCCCTACTTTGAGACAAGTGCTGCCAACGGGACGAACATCAGCCCCGCGATCGAGGGGCTGCTGGACCTGATCATGAAGCGGATGGAGCGCTGCGTGGACAAGTCCTGGGTCCCCGAGGGCGTCGTGCGCTCCAACGGCCTCCCCTTCGCCGACCGTCCCGGTGAGGAGAGGAACGCGGGGTGCAGCTGCTGAGCCCCGCACCCCGCGAGAACACTGGCGGCCTGTCTGTGAGCGTGTCTGGGAGGCTCCAGGCAAACTGCTCCTCGGCATCCCCGCCAGACTAGTCATTGTTGTCCGCTTTTTCACTGTTGCAGCTTTGTAACTATTTCATGAAGATTCAGCCAGAGAAGTATCTCCCAGGGCCCCAAGTGCCTTACAGACCTCAGCTCCTGGGTGGCCAGGCAGGGACTCGGGTTTGCGGCGGGGTCTCTGCCTCGTGGGCCTTGAGGACAGGGGTCTGCCACTGGCCCTGCCGAAGACAGACCTGGGCTCTCCTGTGAAGGGCTCAGGTGGCCACAGTCCTGACCAGATGTAAACCCGCCCCGCAGGTGGCCTTCCAAACGACCACCCCGGCCGCTCGGGTTGGATGAGAGCGCATGTGCCTGGCCCCGCGTGCACGCCCTCAACCCCGACCAGAGCCCAGTGAGCTGGGCAGGCCATGCCTGTGGGCTCGCTGCGACTGTCCGGCGTGGGGAGAGGGTTCAGTTGGGGCAGGGTGGCTCCGTGTCCTTTTGGCCTCTCTGCTGTGTCCCTGGCTCTGAAGGGCTGACTGGAGGGTCGGCGTCCGCTGCGGCCTGGGCACCTAGGCCTGCCTCCGCGCGGCCACGTCGAGGGAGCAGGTGCAGATGCCGAGCTGTGCTGCATACCTAGTCGCTTTCTTTTCTTCACGTTTGCAATGCTGGCCTGGTGTCCTCACTGCCACGCTCCGTGCTGGCATTTACAACTTGTTTAATTTTTCTGTTGGTGCAGTGGAAGGACTTCGTGTTCATGGCAGAAGTGTGTCCGCTGAGTGTGGAGCACAGACGCTCACAGGTCTCTGAGCAGCCACCTTCTCCTCTCGCTCGGGCAGGAAGGCCTGGCCTGCAGCCCTTGGCCTCACTGTGCTGCTGGGCTGCCAAAGGCCTCCACACCAAATGAAGGTGGTTTTGTAATGTGCTTCAAGAAAGTTGTTCATAAAGTCCAAAGGTATTTCATTTAGGAGAAATTCTTATTTATTAAAATGGTTCAAATAAAGTAGATTAAAATTTCTAGGGAGCTTCAGTGGTTATTTAGGAAAAAATGTCTCTCACTGTAATTTAGTGAAAAATAAAAATAAATGTCTCTTGTGACAGCAGATGTTTAGAAGAACTATGATTACAAAAATACAAGTATCCACAGCCTGTCTGGCATGGTGACTTGCACATGGCTTAACTGAGCTCCTACAGGGTTTTGGTCACTGCCCTTTGCCACTCCCATGACAAACTTAGCTGTGGATACTGTAAGATTTATGTTTTCCTATCTTCAAAATCAGGGCCTCTTTTAAATTTCAGAGAAGCCACTGAGGCCTGTGCATTTGAGTTGTTGCCTTGTGGTGAGGAAAAGAGACATTTTGGAGGCAGGGCCACAGTCACACACGGTGCCTTCTAACTGCCTCGAGCCGCCCGCAGAGCGCATCCTGACTGCTGGTGTCTGGGCAGTCAGACCGAAAAGTGTGTCACGCTTGTTTTCAGGAGCCCCACTGGCCTTAAACACAGGATGCAATAAATGTGTATGTCACGGTACCCCAAGCCATCTTGAGTTATTGAAATAAATACCCTGTATCTTCTTTGAAAAGCATTTAAATCTGATATCAAAGTGCCATATTTTTGTCTGTATTTTTCTACTTACGAGCCTGTGTAAAAGTGTGTCACGACTGACTTGTGCCAATAAAGCTGATTAAAAAGGTTATCACGAGTTTTTGTGTGCACATTTCACTTCCTGGCACAGTAACAGGTGAAGCCAGGGTGTCCCACTGCAAGACCCGAGCTCGGGGATGGAGTCCACGATGTTCACCCAGGGGCCACACATATTCTGGAGAAAGTAATCAAAGGCTACCACCACCTATGTATGGGGCACCTCCCACGTGGGGTATCTGGGGAGCCTGGGTTGGGGTGGTCCATGTGGAGCAGGGTCAGGCCTGGAAGCTGATGCAGGAGCTCCGGATGGGCAGGGCAGGCCTGACTGGCTGAGGAGCCCGAAACCTGAGAGGTCTCCACTTGTTGGGGAGCCTGCTTGCTCTGGGCCGGGGCACCTCAGCCGCCTTGGAGGGAGAGTCCCTGCATTTGTTCCTGTCAAGGATGCTCACCACCTCCTAACCCTGTATGGCTCCCTGCATGTCACCTTGTCCAGAACATCGCTGAATACCTACCCAGCAGCACGGCTTTCCTGGCATGCGTCCCATCCCCAGCCACTGCCGGTCCCTGCCCTGCCCTGCCCTGCCCTGCCCTGCCCTGCCCTGTCACTACCCTGCTGGGCTCTTGTACACATTGCTCAGGACAACTCAGTACGCTGTTTGTCTCCATCACTAAGATTTCATTTCCATGAGGACAGACACTTGAGCAGTTTTCTTCACAACTGTGTCATCACTCTGAAGAATGCCTGGCGCAACCATCAGTATTCAGATGTCTGCTAACTTACCAAGGAGACTTGTGAGGGAGACAGAGGACTTGAAAATAAATCCAGCATCAAAGGGAGGCTCACTGTAACAAACCCATACTGGATTATCCTAAGGACACCTGCGAAGTACATCCTGACCTTTTAAACTGATGTCAGGATGGCTCACAATCTAACAAATGCTCCATACAGAATGCTGCGCTTTGCACGTTTAGAAACTGGAAAAGGAGTGCTATTTCCAGGTCTTCCATTTTCCCCATACAGACGACTATGGACACTTGTTTAATGACTGTGTTCTGTTCAGGCAACTAGGTCATTACATGAATTGGTTGCTAAATGAACTGTATATAGTATGTACGATGCAATATTCAGAACAAAGAAACGGTCAAAGGAAACTCCAATTTGATGATTTTGCTTTTATTTGCATAACTTACATGTAGTACTGTACTGTGAAACAGAACATAACACTACAGCACTGTACTGTACATTACAATCACAAAAAACCACAGTAATAAACCAGGTATACTGTACATTGAGGCTCTATAAACAAGATGCACAGAACTGTACCAAAAAAAAGGTGGGTCATTAAGTCCAAGCAGCAGATCCCCAGTCTGAATACTCATTGAACAGGGAGGTCGTTAAACGAGGAGTACCTACATATAACTGAAAAACGCTCTCATTATAGGAGATGTCCTAAAATCACTGTTTCCTACCCCAAACAGCACCAGCAGCAGCAGAGGCAACTGATTCCTTCTGGATGTTGAGCGTGGCCTGATTTGGTTTTCTCGGTGGTCTCAATGCTGGGATTTAGGGCTGTGGCCGTCAGGAGAGAACTGGTGCTTACCGGGGGAAAGCACTCTCTGTGCCCAAACACATGAAAGCCAGGGCCTCGTCAGGGCCTAGACTTCTGTGCTCATTCATAACCACAATTCTGCTTTTATTCAGGTTGGAAATTCAAGTTTATAGTGCCTGAAGTTTTTGGGAAAAAGAAACTAGAAATTAACATTAAAATGTATTATTTGGTAAAAACACAGCAAAATCTTTTTGGAGAAAACATATCTACATACACCTTACAGGATTCCTGAAGAAAATACCCTATCATGGGTGAGCCCAGGATTTAAATTACAGTCGATTCCTCCCTAACCCATCATGGGCAAGGCCAAAGGGGTTGGCATTCAAGACTTCAAAGTAGATAGAGACCAGATGGAGTCCATAAATTCAAAATGTTTAATTACAAACATTAAAAGGATTGGAAAACCTAGTAAAGGGGCTTAAAACCACCAGGCAGGTTTGAAAAATAAAACCTTCCAGCAATAAAAAAGTTTTATTAAAATGCAAAACTTAATGGTTAGAGGTTAAATGGCAGAATTGACAGAGCTGGAGAGAAAACCAGTCAACTAGAATGTAGGTCAGAGGAAATTACAGACTTCAAGGAAAGAGAAAGTATTAGAGGTTGAGAGATCCAGAGGAACAAAGAAAGAACTGGGAGAGGCAGCAGTGTGCCAGAGCAGCTGTTTTCTAGGGATGCTCACAGAGGCCCTCAGATTCAGGACCCTGTGCCTCTCAAGCAGGAGCGATAAAAAGGACCCACTTTCAGAAGTCAGTTCCGCTTACTGGATGTGGGACAAGCTTTTTACCCTTCCTCTTGAATTTCATTAAAATGGCTGGAAAAAGAGGAAAAGGTCTAAGGCTGCCCACTCTCCCATTCAGCCTTAGAAACATGAATGTGTTGTAGGGCGCCGCCCGGCCTTGGGCGAAGACACAGAGCCGAAGGCCAGCGGCCAGAGCGGGAGAGAGTCTCTCCAAGCAGCAGGAGGAAGCGCGGCCGTGGAGGGACCCTGTGGACTCCAAGCGCTGAGAACCACCAAGTGCGGGGCAGGGGTTTAGTACTAACATTCCAGAACACGTCTTTGTTATTTACCATTGTTCTGGAATTACTGGTCAAATGACAAGAAAAGTGCCAGGTAAAAGGAGAAATACATGTTTTGCAGACCCTAAGTGGAGAAACTAATTCTAAAGTTAACAACAAAAAGTGTTGAAGAATGGCCAGAGAAATAATGAGTGCGGAGGGGCGAGGCGGTAATCCGTTATTTGAAAACATTTCCCTAATTTGCAGATGAACGTGGAGGTCGCCTTCTTCACTCGCTGGCGCTGGGAAAACACCACTCTCCCGTCCAGAGGAGCTGAAAATTCAAGTGTGAAAGATGACACAAAATGTGTGAAAAAAATTTGGAGTGGGAATTGCAGTTCCAAGCAAAATACCAAATTCAAAGCCATGAGAGCTTAGATAGACCTGAATACAGATAAAACATTTCTGAATAAAAACTAAGCGGGACTGGGGATTTAGCTCAGTGGTTTCGCCGCCTGCTGCGCAAGCGCAAAGACCCGAGTTCAATCCCCAGTACCAAAACAAAAAACAAAAAAAGACTAAGCAAAGTTTAAGATATTGATAATTAGGAAACGATTTCCAGGTGTCAGCAAAGGGCTGACAAGATGCTGTCGAATATCGACTCCGACTGCAAAGGACAGAAGCAGTCCGCAGAAGAGGGCTAAACACCGGCAGCCTCCTCGTCGCCCCTGGCCGGTAAGCTCAGGGGCCGGGCCGGCGCGGAGCTCGGGGGCCGGCGCGGGGCTCGGAGGCTGGAGCGGGTCGGAGGCCCAGCGCCCGCACGGCTCCGACCGCCTCTTCGCGTAGAGCAAGCCCGCACCTGTCCCGGGTCTCGATAGGAAAGAGCCACTTCCGGTGGCGGGAGCGCCACTTCCGATCACGGGCGCGTCACTTCCGGCGGCGACTCCTCGTTTCCTCTCCCTGCCAGCAGCGCGCTCGTGGGTGCGGCACGCCTCCAACATGCGCATCGAGAAGTGTTACTTCTGTTCCGGGCCCATCTACCCCGGTCACGGCATGATGTTCGTCCGCAACGACTGCAAGGTGAGAGGCCGCGGCCCCTGGCGCCGGCTCTGAGCCCGCCGGCCTGGCCGCCTCCGCCTGGGACCGTGTGCTGGCGGCGTCGCGACGGGAGCCTGGGGACGCTCGGGACGGGGGCCCGTTGGGGACAGCAACCTGCGCGCGCGCCTCCGTGTCGCTGGGCCCGGAGGGTGGAGGGCGCGGTGCTATCCCGGGGGGCGCTCCGGGCAGACTGGTGGAGTCTGGGGAATGGGAGAAAGTGAGCACTTGCTTGTAGCAGGGGCCACGCTTGGGCTGACTGAGAATGAAAACACAGCGCCGCGTAGGGATCTCTGACGTGCGCGTCGCCCTGCTCCTCCACCGACCTCTCTGGGCCCGGTTCCCCGGCCCTTCTGGGCCGGAGCCTGGGAAGTTCTGGCTCTGCCTCCTCGCCTGCATCTGTCACGGCCCGAGGGCTTCGCCTGGTGCGGAGCAGGGTCCCCCTGAGACGAGCCACGATAGCCACGTCGGCTTTGATCCTCTGGGGCACACGACCGAGCCGACCCTTTCTGGCTGATGTAAGCGCTGTTTCCCAGCCGCCAGTCGGAAGGTGCCCGGGGATCCGGGGCCAGGCCGCCGGGTGTGCAGTGGGGACCCATTGGAGTGGAGCGGAAGCCTGTGCGGACTGGGCTGGGGTCAGCCTGGGCAGGGAGGAGCAGGGGACCCAGAGCAGAGAAGAAAAGGCGGAGGCCCAGTAGCACGACAACGAACACCTGTCTCCTCTGAGTTCCAAGGCAGTATCTTCTCAGCTCCACATTTGAATTTCCCGTTGGGTGGGGAGGTTCTGCTCTTTCCTAGCAGTGGACCTACTGGAAGGGAAAACCTTATGACCTCAGGTCTTTCTGATCTCTGAATTAACACCATCCTCACATGCCTAGAGGGATTGGCTAGAAATGTGAATCTTTCACGTTTTGTGTCTGTTTTCCAGCCCATTTTGCCTCTGTGAGGTCAGTGATGTTTGGGCCTTCTTTCTGCCCCCCTCTTCTAGCTTCTAGTCCATATTAGGTGCTGGTCACGGCTATACCCTCCTAACTTGTGGTTTGGCCCTAATTTTCCTAGCGGGAGACTATGCTAGGTACTCCTCTTGCTCACCTAAAATAGCTGCTTAAGGGCAAATGGGAACAGAGCTTTTGTAAATAAGGAGAAGAAGAGGGGTTGGAGAAAGGGGAGTGGGAAAAGAAGAAGCAAGATAAAGCATGTACAGGTACAAATGCCCCATGATCCGTGTTACCATTATGTATATCTAAAATGTACCAATAAAAAAAAATTAAAGGGCAGAATTAGTGCTAGTGCTCCATAATTCCACATACTTTATAAACGGGAAGAAGCCTTAATGTGGGCTTCGTGTTTGTTGAATTAATGGAATGAAAAAGGCTTGAAGAAGTTTGAGGCCAAGGTATTAGATTATTTGTTGGCTCCTTGGAGACTGGAGGTGATGGGGGCCGGGTTCAAGGGAAGAGGGAGCACGTGGTCCCTCCCAGCGTAGATTTAGCCACTGCGTCGCCGTGGGTGTTTCTGTGTGACTTACCTACATTTTTGTACATAGCTTTAGCTCACTCATACATGTTAGCCTGATCTCTATTGTTTGCAAAGTGAGACTGTCACATTGTCAGACTTTCTCAGGAAGGGTGCCATGTTTCAGTTATGCCAGTGCCCTGTCACCTAGTGGAGCCCCAGGCACTCATGGCCTGCTGTGCTGATAGAACCCCTGTCAGGGCTCCTGTCGGTTCAGACCCTGCGTGTGCTTTTCAGATGGAGCTTGTTAGACACTGACTTGCCAGGACGAGGTCTCATTGGCTTTGTTTGGCGCTGTGAAGACCCAGAATGAGCTCCAGCCATCATCTCATAGATCTCAGAAATGGCTTTGCCTAGGGACATCTGTTAGGTTTTCAGTGTTGGAGGCTTTTACTTAAATTTAAAACGGAGTACTGTTTGGGCAAATAAAATGGATAATGATCTCATAGTGGGTTACTCTGGGAGACTTCGGCAGTTCTGATATTTTTTAGTTGATGTGAAATTGGCTCAAGGATAGACATGTTCTCATTCAGGTCTCTAAGATACTACAAGGTAACAAATCAGTTCAGTTTCCGTGTATTCTTTCCTGTCTCAAGCAGTTCAGGATGGTGCTGTGAGTCCGTGAGGCTTGTGGGTGAAGCCCATGGTTGTTTTCAGACTTTTTTTACATTGTGTTTTGTCTGACAGGAGTAGCATTCTATGATGGAAGAGTTTTCAATGTTGGCTTTTCAGTATTTTAACTTCCCTTGCAGGTGTTCAGATTCTGCAAATCCAAATGTCATAAAAACTTTAAAAAGAAGCGCAATCCCCGCAAGGTCCGGTGGACGAAAGCGTTCCGGAAAGCAGCCGGCAAAGAGCTGACGGTGGTGAGTACAGTTAGCTGTCAGAGGCGGCTTTTATGTTTCTCAATGTTCATTTTTTCAGGGTGGGAAACTAATCTAATTAACCATAACAAGGGCTCCTGGAACACAGCTGTGAATGCTCTATTGATTTGGCTGTGGAAATAATCTTGTCTTCATATGGTCCTGAAAACCATCATTCTGTAGACTTTTGCAAAGGAAAAATGCCCAGTTCAGTTTTGTTTTTTAAATTTTTTTTTGTTATTTTTGGTACCGGGGATGGAATTCAAGACCTTGTGCTTGCGAGGCAGGTGGCGGAACCACTGAGCTAAATCCCTGGCCCCCAGTTCAGTTTTGTAGAAGTGATTTTTCTTGTCCTTAAAAAACTTACTTTTATTTTTTGAAAAGAGGGAAATCACTTAAATTGACAGGAGTGAAGTTGGAGATTGCTGCTAAAGGAGTTTGAGACAAAGTTAAGAGAGTAAAGGACTCCTGAATTGCCGGCGAGTTTGTTGTGGGCTCATGGAGCTGTTTCCAGTTCCCTCAGCAGGGCTTAGTGTATGAGAACCCAGGTTGGTTAGTAGGTTGGTGTTAAGAGGGAGAAGTAGTGGGAAGTCGGGGCGTGGGGCTCTGTGGGTTAAGCCCCCAGACCATCCTGCTGTCACTGAATTGAGGAATTCCACGTCCGGTCCCGGGACAGGGAGAGGAAGAAAGCTGCAGCACCGACTGCCTCCCTGTGCCTTCCTCTGCCCCTAACCCACGCCTTCCCCCATCCCTGCGCATTCTGCTTCTGCCAGAGTGCTGCTGTCTGGGCCTCCTGCCCGCCCTCCTCTTCAACTCTGATGAGGATTGCGCCCTGTTGTGCAAGGGCAGAATCTACAGGAGTGTGCCAGGGCCCTTTCCGGGCCTTCCTAGCCGGAGCTGTTCAGTGAACACACAGGGCAGAACATGGCATCAGTCACTAAGATCATTGTCGCCCTGGCCGAGAGGCAGCCTGGCATCTCACATGCAGGGCTGGGAGTGAAGAGGAACAGCACCGCCTCGGCTGGTGGCCAATGCCTCCTGGAAGAGCTTTCCCAGCCCCTTCCCTCAGTTCAGCTGAGGTTGTGAGGGTCCAGACGCTGCCTGTGCCAGGTGGATCTGGAAACTGAGGAGTCTCAGGTTGCTCCCTGCGGTCTGTCAGACACCAGCAGCTGGAGGTGTGCGGACACGTGGGGCCTGCAGCCCGCAGAGCAGCTCCACATTTATTACTCTTGCTCTTAGCCAAAAGGCTGAGAAGGGACAGCTGCACCTTGTTCAAGACCGACGTGTGGCGGCTCTGCACTCTTGCTCTGACGGACAGGTGCTCAGAGTGAACCATGTGAAATTCTTGAGTTCAGCTCTTTATGATCTGTAAAAAATGGCAGTTTCATGTGTTGGACTCGAATGCAGAGTTTCCTGGCCAGGCTGGTCTGGGATGGGGCTGGGAGGCATTCGCAGTGTGTGTCGGTGATCTCCGAGGGGTGCCTCCCCTTCAGGCCCACGAGGCAGTGTGCTGGGGAGAGGCTGCGGGCTTGCGCTCTCAGGGAGCCCTGGGGCCTGGGTGTGAGCCCAGGATGCTCGGGAAAGGGGGTGTTCCAGGGAGCACTTCCTTCTGCCTCTCACCAGCCCTCTGCTTCCTGCAGGATAACTCATTTGAATTTGAGAAACGTAGAAATGAACCTGTGAGATACCAGCGAGAACTGTGGAATAAAACCGGTAAGTCTGGGAGTTTGGGTCCTTAGGAGACGGGTTGGGAGCTGACGACCTTAAACGTCATCACTCTCAGTTTCAGCTCTTTACCTTATCCTCATTTGCATAGCTGGGTTCCATTCATATCCTTACGAGTTACCCTAAATGCTTTCAGAATTGCTGATCTATCCATTATTGAAATAGTGTTATTATTAAATTTGAACTGCCCACACAAAGATGTAAACCATACAAAAACCTGAAAAAAGGAAGATACTTTGTGACATGATCGTGACACAGTTAAAATATGCAAAAGGCCTAGGCTGCTTTATAAGCCCAGTCACTCAGTTTAGAGGTGTGAGCTGTTTTCCATGTACCTTATCCAGTTTAGTGCTGTGGTTTTTTGGTTTTTGTTTTGTTTTTTGGTACTGAGGTTAAATCAGAGTGTTTGCTCTAAGCTGCGTCCCCAGGCCTTTTTAATTTTAATTAAAATGTTTTTATTTTGAATTGGTGTCTCAGTAAGTTGCCCAGACTGGGCTCGAACTTGGCTCTACCTGCCTCAGCCTCCTGGAGTTCTGGGAATGCAGGCTTGCAGCACCATGCCTGGCCATTCAGGGCTTCTTTCTAGTTGAAAAGCGTAGCACTTCAGGTGATCATTACAAACTTTCTAACAGATCTTGAGTGCTTGACTTAGGTCAGAATGAAGTAGGCTAGGGAAACTAAAAGCAATAATATCTGGCGCTTGGGTTTTTTGGGAACCAGCCAGAGGCTTGAGTAAGAGTAAGAGTGAGAGTCAGTGTGTGGTCAGTCACAGTCCCAGCAAGCTTGTCCCCCGCATGCTGGTGGGGGGTTGAGGCCCGGGCCCTGCTTCTCTTCCCCCCAGGGTGTCTTCCTATAGCCGTCGCCAGCGGGGCTGTGGGGCTGACGTGGTTGGTTCAGGAGAAGTCCCAGACTTCATGACTTGGTGTGGCTCTGGCTCTCAGGCCAGGTCCCTTTCCACACGTTTTCCCCAGCAGCAGGGACCGAGAGCAGAGAAACTGGAGCTTTATTGCAGTGTTGGGCACCATTAAAGCTTTGCTCGTCTTCTTCAACCTTACTTTAGAAATCAGAGTCCAAGGGCTGGGGATTTAGCTCAGTGGTTCCGTTGCTTGCCTCGAAAGCGCAAGATCCTGAGTTCGATCCCCGGTACCAAAAAAAAGAAGTCAGAGTGCCGGTGTGCAGTTGCCTTTCCTACATAGCAGTTTTCTCTTTTTTAAAACAAAGTTTTCCCCTTATTTTTTTAGAGGAAGAGTTAATTTCTGAAAAGCATTTGTTTTTGTTGTGTTTATATGACAAGGAAATAACACTTGGACTCCAGAGTTTATCTAGAGCAGTGGTTGTGCCGCAGTGGGCTCTTTGTATCATTGAAAGCTCTAGAAGGCTCATCACTGCTCTAGAGCTCGCTAACTTCATGGGAGTCTCAAGTTGATTCCAAAGCTGTTCTTCTCAGGGACATTGTTGAAAGTCCCGAAGCATTTCTAGACCCCATTCCCTTTCATTTCATTTTGACTTTTCTTTCCTTGTTTTGTTTCCGCTTGAAGACAGCAGCTTCAGCTGTTCGCGTTCTCATGTGCTGCCACTGTTGTTGGTTCATCTTGGTCTTGGTGGGCATTCACCTGTGTGCCTGGCCTTGTTCGCAGCCATCCAGCATGTGCTGGATGTCTTCAGTGCTGACCTCAGTGCAGCGCCGAGTCACTGTGGCCCCGTGCACGCTCGTGGGCACACTCATGGGCACGCTCACAGGCACCGCCTGAGGCGCAGTCCTGCCCTCTCCTGAGTCGTCTTGCTCAGTGTTTCCCTGAGTACGATTTGTGCTGGGGATTCTCAGTCAGTTCCTCTGTCCCACCCACTCCACATCTGGAAAGTCTGGAAGAAGCGATGCTGCCCTCATTCTTTTCTGTGCAGATGCTGTCATCCTTTTTTATTTGGATCCTAAAAATGGACTTTTTTGAAGATTTACTGGGTAGCGACCAAGTCCAGAAATTGCTTCCTGCTATTACACAATTACTAGATTTGTCAGTAGGGTTCCAGAGGACACAGTGCCCTCTTAAGAAACTGGTTCATCCCCAGATCCCCTCCGTGCACCTTGCCGTGTCTGAATTGAGATGTGCTGTGAATATAAAGTGCAGGATCCACTGAAGATTTAGGGTGAAACAGGAGTAAAATACCTCACTAATAATTTTTTGTATTGAGATCAATACGTGTTGAAATGATGATACTTCGGGTATGTTGAGTTAAAATATATCATTAAATTTCCACGTGTTTCTGTTTACTTTTTAAAAAAACACAACTACTAGAAAAATTGAAATTCCACACGTGGTTTCTCCTGCACCAGACAGCACTGGTGCAGATTCCAGAATGTCTGCAAGTCAGACTTGGTGTCCCTATGCCCACAGCCCCTGCGGAGCACACAGCCGGGCGGGCGGGCGCTTGAGAATGGTGTGGGGCTGTGGGCTCATCGCCCGTGGTCCTCACAGTGTGCGGAGCCTGTCAGGCCCGCGTGGCTGGGTGCTTGTGGTGGGAAGCCTGTGTTCCTGGAGGGCAGCTAAGGGCAGGGTTGGTGGCCCTCCTCCAGATTCCCTGTAGGACGATCTCGGAGAAGCGTCTGCCGTGGGAGGAGAGGAAGGAGAGGTGAGCAGCAGGAGGAGAATGACTCGGGAAAGGCAGGGTCAGTCGGTCCAGTGGCCTGGAAGCGCTTGCCTTGGACTTCGTCAGTGGGGATAAATGTTTGGGCAGAGTTTTTCATTTAAATTTATTTCTAAGCTAATGAAGTGTTTGTTAATGCACGTGTTGATTGTAGTCCTCCCGCTGTGTATAGATTTGCTAATTCTTCATGAATTTTGTTGTAGTTGATGCAATGAAGAGAGTCGAAGAGATCAAGCAGAAACGCCAAGCTAAATTTATAATGAACAGGTATGAACATTTGTGTGGAGTAACTGCTGAAAACGTAATTACTGATGGGCGTCCAGAGGCACCAGCAAGTCATTTTGCAGCGTCCCTCGTGCAGGTTGGCCTTGTGCTGCCCTCCTGGGGGTGTGGGTGGGCACCACTGGCAGGGGTGTCACAGAGGCAGCAGTGAGTCCTTGTCCTGCGCCACGTTGGGAGGTCTGAGGTGCCTCCTCAAGGTGAGCGTGGACCCTCCAGCTCTCTTGGGTGGACACTGTGTGACCGCCCGAGTAACTGTTGAGATTGTTGCCAAATGGTGATTTGCTCACTGCCTCATTTCTCTTGGGATTTTATGTTAGAAAGAGCTTACCCATTCCCCCACTTTCAGAATCATCCCTCAGTTGGTTTCTTTGTGTCGTGTCTGTGTACGTTCGTGGATCTTGCGTTTAACAAGTCTTCTTGTGCCTTACTTTGATGTCCGAGTGGCCCGAGTTGGGCCAGTGTGCTGGGTGTTTCTTTCAGGCCGGTGCCCTCCCATTTCATGTTTATTGTTCCTTCTCGCTCTTCAAGTGTTTTGCTCTTGTATGGCTACCGACCTTCCAACCTCATCCTCAACCCCCTTTCCCTGCCTCAGCCTGGAATTGGCCATTTCTCGGAAGCAAGAGAGGTGCCCTATAGTTACTGTGGAGGGGCAGCAGCTTCTGGCAAACACGGTCACAGTACTTCAGAAGACCTGGTCTGGGCTGGCCATGGTGGTGCTTGTAACCCCAGCACTCGGGAGGCTGAGGCAGGAGGATCACCACAAGTTCAAAGCCAGCCTGCACTACATAGTGAGACCTTGTCTCAAAGAAACACAAAAAGCAGACAAGATCCATGATGCAGAAAAGACCCAGGTGCTGTAATAGATTTGCCCATCTTCAGTCACGTGTGTAGAGGCCCCACAGACCCTGGTTTGTGAGGGCTGTGGTTTCTTCACAGTCATTCTTCTTAGGTCAGCAAACCCAGGACAGTCTCATTCAGCAAGTCAGGACCGACCGTCACTGAGTGAATCACAGAGCAGGGCTCTATCTGCAGGGGCTCAGCCAGGCCTCACCGCAGCGTGCTCTCGGGGAACGGCTGGGTCTCGGTTCCTGAGGGAGGTGGAGGGCAGGGTGGGGCAGGGCTCACTGGCTTCGTCTCCCACCTGTGGCTGCCCCCACCTGTGGCTGCCGGTGCTGATTCAGAAGTTTTGTAACGGACTCGGCTTTGCTGTGTTTTCCCCTAGGCTGAAGAAAAGCAAGGAGCTGCAGAAAGTGCAGGATGTCAAGGAGGTCCAGCAGAACATCCACCTCCTCCAGGCCCCTCTCGTGGGTGAGTGCGGCCGGGCCGGAGCGCACATCCTGAGCGCTGTTGGGACTTAACTGTTCTCTCTCAGTCCGTTTGTTCTAGGACTTGTTCATAGAACGGTAACTTACTAGCCGGTACAGTGACGCGCCTGCTTTCCCAGCTCTTCAGAGGCCGAGGCAGGAGAATCCCTTGATCCCATGAGCTTTGATTTTTTTTTTTTTCCAGACATGGTCTCACCATGTAGTCAGGGCTGGGCTCGAACTCAGGATGATCCTCCTGTCTCAGCCTCCCAAGTGTTGGGGTTGTGTGCCATGACGCCTGGCAGAGCCCATGAGTTTGAGATCAGCTCGGGCAACAGAGTGAGACCCAAACAAAAGACACAAAACAAGTGTTTCCCTGAGCCCAGTCCATTTTATGTGTTTTTCTCCTTCATAAAATCCTTTCATACAGGGTATCTCCAGGTTAAAGTGATTTGAGTAATAATTTTGCGGGTGGTTTTTCCCTGGTACCTGTTTTGATTAAAGGACGTGTTTTGTGCTTGTGGCTCTCAGATTCTGGTTGGTGTTGGAATAACTCAGGGACTCTGCTACCGTACAAAGGCCTGTGGCTGGCAGGGCGACTGGATGCTGCCCTTGAGGGATGCGTCTTCGTGTTGAAATGTTCCTTTGTTACTCCTGAGAAGCCTGGTGGTTACTCATTGGGCCCACTGTTCCACGCTTGCTTTGTGAAGTGCTGGAAAACCAGTTCTTGCTCAGCTGGCAGCGAGTCTAGTCTCGTTTAATTTACTTGATTTGTGCACATTACTTGGAGGAAATTTTGTCTAACTCGGTAGAGTTCAGATTCTGTAGCATGTTGAGTAGGTTTGTGTAAAAGTCTTGCGTACGTCACATTTATGGCAAATTCTGTTCAATCAAAGCAGTCAGAATTGTGGGGCATTTGTATCAGACGCAGCGAACATGAGCGGCCACCTGAGAAGCACCAGGACAGCCACTGCTTTCTTTCCCAGGCAGGGAGTGCAGTGTTAGGAGCAGGAACTGGGTCAACTGGCCGGGTTTGCCTTCCTGGACTCACAGCTGAGTGGTGGGCTCAGCCTCTTTATATTGAAAGTGCAGGGTTTTACTGGGGAGGAGGACAGATGCAGGGCATGCTTGCTTTGTGGAGTCATGAGATCTGGATCATTGAGCAACTCTGAAGTTTCTTAGAATTGGCTGTTAGAAAACAATTCAGATCCTTTATAGAGTATTGAGCAAGTTCTGCAAGGCCACAGGAAATTGATTATATTTTTAATTTTTCTCTTAAAAGGCAAAGGAAAGCAGCTGGAAGACAAGATGGTGCAGCAGCTGCAGCAGGACGTGGACATGGAGGAAGTGTCTTAAGCACCTCACTGTCGGTGCCATTTCTGTGTGAAAATCTCCTGTGGATGCTTAGAGCTTGGAAACCCTTGATCCATTTGTTACTGAGTCACTCTGGGGAAGGTGGCTGGAGTCGTCCTTTTCTGCACTGTCTGCTGCCCGGCCGGCTGTGCTGCTGGGTTGCCTCTCCCAGCACAGCCTGGTGCAGATGTGCTCCTGTAAGTGTGAAAGTTCTGTGTGCAAGCACAGAGGTGAATGGTGGACATCAGATGGCCGTGCCCTTTGCACGATGTCATAGGCAGTGCTTGTGTAATGACTGACCACCAGAGCTCATAACAGTGACACAGGAAATAAACCTCTTTGCATTGGAGTACTCCCTTGATCAGTGTTCTGGGGGATGCAGTAAGCGGCCAGCAGCTGATGTGATGAACTCCACGTCTTGTCTGTGTTTCCTGCTGTAGCTTCCTAGCTTCCTCCTCTGGGAGGACAGGAGGCTGTGTTGCCTGGGCCCTCGGGCCTGGTGTAAGTACCTGCCAGGGGGAATGTGGGGAGGAGGGCGGCAGTGACTGCCCCAGGCGGTGCTGTGCTCCTTCCGTTGCCTGGGCAGAGCGAGCTTGTTCCCTCGTCTCCCAGTGGTCTACAAGGGGCAGACTCCAGTGCCTGCAGACTTCGGTGTGTGGGTTTCTTTGGAAAGAAATCTTGCTGTTTTTGGAAAGTAGAATTTGTGAATGGAACATCTGTTCGTTATTTGCCCATAAATGAAACAATTTCTAGAGGAAGTGCCTACATATTTAGTATTTAGAAGTACAGTACTTACAGAGGTATGAAGTATCGATTACTTGGAAGAAAATACTAGCACTGTCGGGGATTTAACTCAGTGGTTTCTCCGCCTGCTGCACAAGCACAGGGACCTGAGTTCGATCCCCAGTACCAAAAAAAAAGAAAATACTGGCACTGAAGTGGGAGATACAGATAAAGGGAAGTATATGCTGAGCATTTCATGTTGCTGTGTTTTTACATTATTTATCCCTTTACATGTATTACAAATACTAGGTAACAGTTCTTTGCTTTTTTGTTTTGTGGAACTGGGGATCGAACTCAGGACCTTGCCCTTGCCAGGCAGCCATGCCGTCCCTGAGCTACATCCCCGGTAATAACCGTTTATTTGGGGGGGCCAGAATTTATAAGAGTTATAGATTCTTTGGGTTATGTAATTGTAAAGTAGTGACTAATTTTTTATCGGCATCAGGTGGTAAAAATGCAGATCGGTCTCCAGTTGCTGAAGGACACCATGGAGCTGGAAGTCAGGGACAGGAGCGCCCTTAGCTCGTACTCCTTATGGGACCTCTTAGGAATACAGAAAGACAGTCCATGTTAGGAGGAGTCTTACGTCTTGGAAACAAAACAGGATGGTGTTTACCTTGTGCACATGGCTGAGGAGGACTGGCTTCTTCACATACAGCGTCCCGAGAGGGAACACTTGTGCTTTACGCAGCTTATCCTTGCTTCACCGCACAGGAGGTGAAGGCACTTCGTGTGCTTATCCCAGTGCCTCCAAGAGGCCGAGTGGGGAGGGCACTGCCCGGGGTCCTGGCTCTGTGCCCACGGAGCAGCCGGTGGTGTGGGCAGGCGCCTGCAGGTTGCTGAGTGAGCAGGCAGCATCTTCAGCAGGAAAACAGGCACAGGAGTGCAGGGACAGCTGCAGAAGTGTTGTCTGAGGCTGAGCTGCTGATACATACTGCATGCTCACTTCAAGGCCACTGCCACGGTAAGTTGGCGTTAGGGTGCCAGGAAGTTTCCTCCCGCCCTTTGGCTTGTGTTTTTATAAAGAAACCGGGAAAAAGGCATCAAATGTGAATCTCGCAGATACAGGCAAGTTCTGAGATGGCTGGAGACTCCCCTGGAGAAGTTAACATGGCAACCGGCTGAATTAATAAGTATGTTGGAAAGACAAGGAGAACAAATCAATGAAAAAGAACAAAACCCCCAAAAGACCCAAGCCAGTTTCAGGGGCTCTGGAGGGTCCCAGGTCTTCCTGGATTAAGGGTCAGTAGGATGGGAGGGGACCACACTGCTCTGCTGGTCTTTGCACCAGGCTTCCTTCCTGAGGCCACAGTGCGCCCTCCTGTCTGGGGTGCTGTGGTTCAGAAGGTCCTGGTGGAGTCCAGCCCCGCCGCCTCTGAGTCTCAGAGAGAGATGGGCACAGGATGCCGGGAGGAGCCTGCGTGGGTCTGCAGGGTAGCATCAGCGGCTGCCTGTGGGAGGCTGGAGGCTGCTGCAGAGGCTTTCTCCCTGACTTTCAGGTCTCCGTTACTTTGGTTTTTTTGGTACCAGGTATCAAACTTGGGACTTTGAACTTTTGAGGCAAGGGGCGGCAGCACTGAGCTACATCCCTGGTAGGTCTCTGTGACTCTGAAAGCGTTCATGCTTTCACCAAGCTGCCAATCATTTTCATTCTCTTTGTTTTTTTTGAGACCAGGTTTTGCTGTATATTCTAGGCTGGCCTCGAACTTGTGGTGCTCCTCCAGCTTCAGCCTACAGGCGTGCACACCATGCCTGGCCCTGTCCTTGATGATGTTTTCCGTGGAAGGCTAAGGGATCGTCAAGTGGGCGGCAGATCATGCTTTCTCTTTCTTTCCTTCCGCCCTGATTGGATACACAGATTGATGAGTTCCATTTGGCAGATTCGTGCATGCACATGATGAACTCCGTCCGTTGTCACTCCTGTGGACTTTTTCTCATTACAGCCTGCAGATCCTGTGCTGTTAACTTAATCTACGGGCATTCTGGCGGCGTGTGCATTTGCCAGCCCGAGGCTGGGTCCCCCATTTGTCTGTGGCTCATGTTCTCTCCCAGTAATGACCGGTTACCTTGCCCATGATGGCTCACTCCAGAGGCGATTGCCAGTTTGTGACAGTCACATCAGTGCTTGCAGCACCTTCATTTTCCTCATTTGATCAGTGTTAATTTTGACTGGGATCAGGCAGAGCACAGTTCTAACGGAGCCGGGAAGCGTCCTGGGACATCGCATTGGGAAGCTCGGGCCATCTGGAATCTTTCCAGATAGAGCTGTGCTTGCTGGCGTTACTGCCTCAGAACTAACTCGAGGCTTAGCCAGCAGGTTTCTCCGGGCACAGGCGTCCTGCCGGGGTCGTTTGCTGCCTGCCTGCCTTCTGATCTTAGGGTCCTCCCTCTCTTCCTCCTCAATATGTGCAAGAGATGTGGGACTCTCCCCTTCAGACGGCACCCCCATCCCAGAGCCCCTGGTCAGAGACGGCTGTGGATTGCAGGGCGGAGTGTATGGACCACCAAGGTGTCACCTTGTTTTGCACGCGTTAAACCTCCGTGTGGACGCACACCGAGTGTCAGTGGTGTTGCTGGGCAACCAAGTCCCTTGCGGGATTTGCACTTAAGACCGAGCGTGTGGCTTTTGTGCTGTGAAATCCCCTCACAGTGAGGTGCTTCTCACACTCAGTTTATTCCCGGGGGGGTGGGGGGCGCTGCTTCCTGGAGCTGTGGGACCTGGGAGTGGCTGAGTCCGAGGCTGAGGCGTGGACCACCGAGCAGCTGGTCCAGACTGGAGGTGGTGTGAGATCCTCAGCGGATTGGGATGATGAAGAATGTAAAAAGCTCACTATCGGCTACATCAGGTTAAATAAATATGTATTAATTTAATGCAGCACCAACCTGTGAACGTAGGTACCTCTGAGCCGGACTTGAGGGGCTGGGCTGCAGTCGTGGCGCCTGTGCCTCCGGGTGCCAGGTGGGGGTAGCAGAGAGTCGCAGCCGCTGCGTTCCCGTAGGCTCAGCTGGGGGAAGGCGAGACGCTGCTCGAAAACAGGCTCAGAGATGACCGCTCAGCCTGGGCTGCGAGACTTGTGCAGGCCTCAGTTTCCCCATCGGAATGGGGCTTCTAGTGGCGTTTTGTGTTGCTGGAATATTGCTGATGTTACTGCCTGTATTGTAGTGGGTCACTGAGGCCGCCTGGGGCGGGCCTGTCTTTCCCTGGATGTGGGCCCCCCGCAGGCCTGCAGTACGGATGACCCAGAGGGGACCCGGGGCGCAGTCGGAAGCCGTCTCCGCAGGGCGGCCGGAGGTCCTGCTGTCTCGTCCCTTGCCGAGCAACGAGTTGGTTTCTTCCCCTGGCTCTGGGCTGGGCGCCACCTGCCCTGTTCACAGTGCTGCCTGGGCCGAGGAGGGGAGGGGAGGGGAGGCGAGTTCGAGGGGCAGATGCAGCCTGGGTTTCTGGGGAGGGCGAGGCCAGTGTCCGAGACGTGGAGAGGAGAGGCCGCCACTGAGCTGCTTGTCCTCCCGTCCTCCCAATCCCCCAACCTCCCTACTCCGGGGACCTCACCTCGGCCAGTGACCTGGTCAGCAGCAGCACAGCAGCACTCTGGAGCGCATTGCCATGCAGACTGTGCCATTCCCAAGCCCCGAGTTCTGGTCTCCCTCTTGGCCCTGCTGGCCTCTCCTGTCTTCTTAACTGTGCTCAGGGGCTTTTATTGGGCAGCTGCTATGTGCAAAGATAGGTTTTCTTCAGACTTGGTCCTCGACCCAGCTACGACCACCCACCACCCTGGCATGGAGCTCAGGAGGCTGCACAGCGGCCCGTCGGGTTTGCTCTCATCGTGGAAGACACAGGCACAGTCCTGTCCAGAATTGTCCTTAGTCCACTTCCCTTTCCCAGAGTTCTTGCGGCTCTTGGGAGTGGGCTCCCCTTGGAAGTGTTTGCAGTCTCAGCACATGATTAAAACCAGTGATCGACACCTGCTTATACACAGATATTTGATTCTGGGTTTGTCAGGATTGTGGCTGGGTGGCTGACAGAGTGCGAGGCTTGCTGAAGAGGCCTTGGTCCTCTTCAGGACAGCTGGGAGGGTGATAATCTTCAGCACAGTGCCCGCCAGGGCGGGTGTGGCCTTCCAGGAGCATGGCAAGCCAGTCAAGGGGCCCAGAGAGAAAATGTTAAAGCTTTTGTTTATGTTTAACTTCTTTCATCCTTTGATACTGTATTTTGCATATGCTTTATGATGATGCATGTCAGTGCAGCAGTGAGAGTATAGTAAATGATAAGTGGGTGTACCTTGAGGGTGGTGACTGTTCTTGTGATGGGGTACACCAGATCAGAGAAGCCCACTGACAGCCTCTGAAGGCATCGGTCAGCCTGTTTGTGCTTCGTGCTGATAGAGACGCAGCTCACACCAGCTGATGGCACTGTGAATGAAAAGGACCACTGTGCAGCAAGCATCCCCATGACCAGACTGCGTTCACTCCTCAGTGCTTTGTTTCGCAAGGTGTGAGGTGGAGCCCTGACCTCACCCTCTGCTGATTAAGTCCAGACTCTTCCTCAGTAGCAGGAAAGAAGGGGAG